AAAACATGAAGAAAACGTTCAGCAAAGCGAATCAGGTAAGTGTGCTGATGTAACTTTGTTAAAAAAAAACTTTTCTGCAGATTACTACAACAACAGACCTGTACAAGTAGGTTTACATACATGTACGTGTACATGTAGACTCTACATATAAAGTACTTTGTAGTTGATACAGTATTTTGTTCTCATTTCTTCATTAATATGTTGCATGTACCCGTACCTGTGTACACATCATACAGCCTCTAAATTATCGGCTGTCTGCAAGAAGGCCGTTTCTATTTTGGAGAACACATACAGTACATGTACATGTAAGCTCTTACAAAATTCTTGTGGATAGCCAACAAGTTGCCATGCACATTAATGCATTTTAAAAAAGAAACAAAAATAAATTTGATAAAAAATACAATTTGAAAATCCCATAAAGAATGATCTGTTTTACAATAGTTTTTAACAATCATAATACTGGGGAGTGTTTCATAAAGCTGTTCGTAAAGTTACGCATGACTTTACGAACAAATGTTTTTTCTGATATTTCCAATAACCTCAATTAAATTATGGCAAAAAATATACTTTGCATTAAAAATGGTTGTTATAATTTAAGAATGTTACCGGTACATCTGCACAGTTTAACTTTAGTTGATGCAGTTAATAATGATTGAGCATCCCATTTGGCTTTTCATATACAAGTCGTTTGTAAAGTCATGCGTAACTTTACAAACAGCTAATATGAAACACCCCCCTGGTATTCCACACTTGGTACTCCCCAAGGGTTAGGGACAGTAGCAATTCATGTTGTGCTATGATTTTATGCGTGTTCGTTTTCACAGATTGTTGTTATTGGTGACATCAAATGAGGGAGCTAGTGCATTCATTTGCAAATGTTCAATTTAAAATGTACATGTACATGTAGCATATATTATGTTGCTGCACAAACATGTATATCATAAATTGCAAGTCATCGTTGTGTAATTATTCTAATGGTGCATTGTATCATGGACCATGATCCATGCATTTGAAGTGCCCTACATGTACATGTATTGGTATGACAGTCATTCAAATCACTCAAGCATGCGTGTCACTGTCATTCAACTGATTCAAGTGTGTGTGTACAATGAAAACAAGTATTGTTTGGGTGAGAGGCCTTTTGTACTACATGCTATGCCTAGATGGAAAGTAAAACAAAAGTACAGATGAAATTACAAATAATAGGAGAAGTGGTAGTAAATGTACATGTACTTAGTAGAATCCAGTGACCTGTTACTGTATGGTCAATAATATGAAGCTTTCCTCATAACCAAGCAGAGCTCTGAACTGACTTTTTTTCTATTTAAAGCTTATCAACACTAGTGTGGCTAGGAGGGATTAGACCACACAGCGAGGTCACTGACAGGTGGCTATCTCATCAACTCAGCTCTCATATAACATAAGAAATAGAGGATCATGGGGGACCAACAGGCACCAATTAGGGAAGTTTTCTATATAGAGGAAAGAGCATATATATATAGAGCAAGTAGCTACAAGTAGGACAGTGGGGCTTTAAAGGGTAAACATTTCAAGCATTACATGTACATGTACGTGGCAGCAGTGCTGTTGAGGTGATTAAACATAGACAATAAACTTTATGTGCCTTTACTGATACGGTTCAAAGCACTGTTGACTGTTCTACTACAATGTTGTACAGGTCTGTTAATAGTCCCGCCCCCCCCCCCCCCCAATCAGTGTTATTTAGGGTACGCATATATGCATGTTCCCTCCTTTTGAAAACACCCCCCTAAGTCCGGTGTGTAAAGTCAATACAGGCCAGAATTTTTGTGTACTACGAGCCAGACTTTGGTGAGTGAAAAGTACCCCTGTACCGGACATTTTGGGAACACGCATGGTATCCCTTCGTTCACGGAGTGGGGGGCCGGGCATACAGTGTATGTAATAATGTCCTGGGAGATGCACCTCCCTGGGGAATGCCAGGGCAGTATTCTGACACTGACAACCAATGAATGATGTATGGTTTTTTTTTTTAATGTATGACTAATGAGAGGTATGTTAATTGGCATTAGCCATAACATATCTTGATGACAAGTAAGCCTAATTGGTTTATGTCTGCATGTAAGGATGATAGTCCATGATCTACACATACCGGTACTTGACTGTATGTTCGTACCTGTATGTACAATGTGCATTGTATGTGTCTTCTTAGGAGATTCTGTAAATGTAGACATGTGTAAATTATTTTGCTGTTGTTACATTGTATGTTTTTGCATTATTGCATTTTTGCATCAAGAATTTTAAAATGTGAAATTTTAAAATCTCCATTTCAAGAGCTTGTTTGAAATTGATTTCATATTTGTATTTCTTAGCATTGTCGAACGACCACATCCCCCACCCCCTCCCCATACAAATTAGAGATATGGGTCCATGCAATAAAACCCCTTCACCTATTGTGAGCATGCAAGTACATCCTTGCAAAGCATGTATTAAAGGTTATACAAAGTTTTGGAAAATTTGGGAAAGTGGCTCGATAGTGATTCTTTACAATTTTGATATATTTTGATGCCCCTATGGATGTATTATAAGCACTTAAAAATTTAGCCCCTAAAACACTTCTGCTTTCGAGAAAAATTGGATATAAAAATTCACCGGTGCTCCCGGTAAATTTTGATAAATTTCAAATAGCGCCTACGGCCATACGATGGTAGCTGCGACCATGAAAATCTCAGAATATGCAGTTGTGATATATATATTCCAAACGGCAATGGCAAATCGGTCGATTTTAGTCAAATAACATTGTTTTATAGCTAAATTAATATCTTGACCTTGAGAGGGCTATATACAACGTAAAGAGTTTATTATTTACAATTTCATCACTTTAGACTCGATTTCAGCCACGACAACGATCACTGAATATTGTAGGATCGCATATGCTTCCAATATGATCATTTGAACCAAATTCATGACCCCATACCAAAACTTTGTATTACCTTTAACTCATGCATGTATTCATACAATGTCTTGGCAAACCATGTCTTGAAGGAGAAGATGTTGCCAATTGAGTTATCATTCCCATTGTGTGCAATTACCTACAGTACATGTAATCATGTCATTTCTTTTCCCTGATCCATTTCCTTGATGAGAGGCAATTTAAAAATGAGAATACATGTTGTGGGTGTACACAATTTGACTGTAATTGATGTTGATCAGAAAGAAAGTTGTAACATGTACAATGTACGTTCACTGCAATTTTGGGCTAAATTTATAAGGGAGTGTAGTATTCTGATAATTTTGTCTTGAATTGGCGAATGAAAACTCTGATGCTGTTTTTTCCATTTGTTGGTTAGTGATTACTGTACATGTATGCTATACATAGTAGGGCTGCGACGTGTAGTCAAATGCTTGAGTACCCGCACGGTTGACAACTACTCGGTACGATTTCTCGAACCCGAATATTCGGCCGCAAAAAAAAAAAAAAAAAAAAAAAAAATCTGTCCAGGCCGACGCTTACCCGTGCCTGGATGAGCGGCAGCCGCTGGCATGGTGCTGTCGGAAAAAATGTTTCCCAACTCCAGCACTGTCAAACTCACCACTCAGAAACTGGGACCGAATGTCTGGATTTCTGTTTGGACTTGGAGGAAAATGGATTATTCTGCCATCTTTGGTTTTTAAAACAGCATTGTTTACTGTTATTATTATTATTATTAAATCGGCACCTTCAACTGCAACTCGAAGTAAAATTGCATGCGTTTTCGGCGACAGAACTGGGATACTGCTCCAGTGGTATGTAAGGTGGTGGCAAAAAAATTTAAAAAAATAAAAAAAAAAAAAAAATAAAAAAATTTAAAAACATGGCGTCCAAATATTCAAGTATTCGCTTGTGAGCCTGGGAGTGTACTCGGGTACCTCATTACACTGTTGTGCACAGCCTTAATACATAGCATGATTTTATCATGCTAGCTGCCCCAAATTTAAGAAATCTCACATACATGTAATGTTTAACCAGACCATGTCGACAGCATTTAGCACACAAATTACATACATGTTCATGTACAAATGTACATATACATGTATGTATATATGTTTGATTTGAATTCACTAATGAGAATTATGCAACATGCACTTAGCTTTATAGAACACAGCCCCCTACTTTCTACGAGAATATGGTGTACAAAATGTATAAACAACTGTTTATATGTACAGTGTACAGTGTATTCTGGTCAGTCCATTACGACCAGACTGTACAACCAGACATCTCTGGCACAACCAAATAGTCATTAGGCTGCCTATACACCTTTATCTTCCAATCCTTCCATGATCAATATCCCCACCCCCCCCCCCTCCCCCCCCCCACTCCTCTTTATGTTCTCTTTGTTACTTTATTTTTAATGTTTTTTTAATGTATTATTTGTTTGCCTGTGTACATGTATCTTGCCCTTAAAGATAAACTTGAGTTCTGGTAATGCGATTGCATTGTGAAAGAAAAGGTGTGGAATGGATCAGAAAAGTTTATCATAGCATGTAAGTAATGGTGTGTAATGCAAGGTTCTGGAGTCATCAAAATCATCATAAATTTGACAGAGTCTTGGTAAAGTAACAATCACTTACACAGAAAGATGTATATGGGACAACACACATGGTGTCGGGGCTAGTACTTTCCTGATTTCCTTATTTTTCTATGCTCATTACTCAGCCAGTATACAGTTTCTTCCTAAATTGTTTGGCACATGACATTTATTTGTAATCTTGAACACTCAGAGTGTAAGTTTCGTTAGATTCTGTGAGAATTCATTTTCTTTTTTTACCAGAACTCAAGTTTATCTTTAATTCTGTTTCTCCCCTTCCTCACCCTTCTCTTACTCTAAATATTCCACCAAAGCCATGGTAAATAGTTTTTAATGTTTGTACATGTACATGTAGGACATGTACAAACATCAACAGACATCGAAAGTTCGAAACTTAAAGTTATTTCACAAAAAATACTTCTTTTTTCATTTTTCTTTCTTTCTTTTCTCCAGTTTATGAGCGAAAAGATAGCAGGTGCTGAGAAGACAGAGTACGATGAAGAATTTGTAGACTTGGAGAAGGTGAGTTGATTACATCCGACATTTTCATTTTAACCAAGTTTGGAATATTGATTTGCAGTATTTGTAGTTTTTTTTTTTCCCGATAAGTACAAACTAAACATGAAACCATAACTAATCAGTCCTGTTTCCTGATGTTTTTTTTTTGCACAAAACTTAAATTTCAAGGTGTAACTGTGTATTGCCTGTTTAAATATATCTTCTGTCTAAATATGACATCAATATTTGTGGCAGAGTTCATCAAACCACAGGCATGTTTCACAGGTACAAAGTAGTGTCAGCTCTTTGTCAATTAACCATGGGGTTCAAATTTCAAACCTAATAAAACATTTTTTTTGTTATACAGTATGTCTGCTCTCGGAAATCAGGATGTAAATTTTTAGGAAAAATTGGTTCCGGAACTTAATCTTGTGTCCTTCACTTCATATTGTAACTATTACACACTTTTTAACTATACACTGAAGGCCTGTCTTCATCAACTCGAGATTGCCAAATATCCCGCTATTTGAACTATCCCGATCGCATAATTTGCTTCTTCATCAGCACAAAGTTGCAATTAGCGGGATATTTAGTCAAGATAATCATCCCAAGATATCTTGGGCTAGTTTGCAAAATATCCCGCTATTTGTCCGGTGAGTCTTCACCAGCCCAAAGACTCGCACCATGCGCGAACACTTAGCAAAATATCTCGAGCTAATTTCTCGAGTTCGAGTTTCGAGGTCTAGTCTCGAGCTGATGAGGACACGATTTGTAACCTTGGGATCATTTTCCCAAATCAGAAATAGCGGGCTATTTGGCAACCTCGAGCTGATGGAAGACAGACCTTATGATACACCATTACATCGGAATAAACGAATTAATCTGGCAAAGTACCAGTACCTATAAGGTCACCCTCCCTATTGTATCAATAGCATTGTGGACTATCACATATATTAGCTCATAATACAATCAGGAAATGAAGAGGATATCTGCGTTTGAGTAAAGGAAATTACAAGGAAGTGTATTGTGCTCCCTGAAGAATTTAATTGCTTTGGTAGATAAACCGAATGGTGGATTTTTGATAGATTGTTCAAGTGGTATACGTGTCGGTGCTCATGAATGTGTATGTAAGCACTGTTGGCCTATTTTATTGCACAGTATATGGTGTACAATATAAATATGTATGGCCTATGTACATACAGTCTGTTGAATATTCATGTAAAAAATGCAATAAACCAAGGAATGGCAGTGTGATAAAAACATGTAGATAAAACATACAGTGTAAATGTAATCTATGACAGAGGCTGTCAGCAGTAGTCATAGTTTCATTAGTACCTGTACATGTGGATTCCCATTCTCTCCTGAATAATTAGTGAGCAAATATACAGTTAAGTACATGTACATTGATGTCTTTAGCCAAGATTCAAGAAGATACAGTTCATATATTAATTTTATGCAGGGAATTGAACACATGACCTTCACATATACAGTCAAGTGTTCCAACCACTTGACTGTGACATAGATCTCTAGTCTCATTTTCTTCTTTCTTTCCATGAACTTATGTAACTAAAATGTGAAAATGGCCCGGCCCCCCCACTCCGAGAACGGACGGACCCCATGCGTGTTGCCAAAATGTCCTTTTCGTAACAAAAGAAAAAGGTCTACCCGTATTGACTTTACACACCGGACTTTTGCTGAAAAGGGGGGGGGGGGTCGGTTGGAACACGCATATGTGTACCCTAAATAACACTGAGTGGAGGGGCCGGGGAAAATGGAAGGGAAAAAATGATACGTAGCCTAAGTAATTGCATACTGATTACTTAAAGTAACTTGTAAAATTGACAACATTTTTTTTTTTTAAAGGAAACCAACGAATACACCCTTTAAACTGCAGTTATTCATCATCCTGTTGACTAGTATGAGCTTTAAAAGGAGTTTCGAAAAGTTTATAGAAGACTTTTCTGTCACACAATATGTAGGCTGATATGTTTATGACAAGCCTTATCCAAGCTTAAATGTACACCTGTACTTCCTTATTACCATTCAAAACAAAATTCTAAGATCTTCTAAAAACCAATACTATGAAATTTAAAAATTGCAAAGTCCAAAGCTCAACCTATAAAAGAAGCTCTACTTTATATACAGTTTGAAATTACGTGATCCATGAAGTAGCAGAATTGTCGTGACCCTCCGCCGCAAGATATTACTCATCCGATGTTCCTTCCGCGGTAGTACCTGAAATGGATTAACATGATATCCTTATCTGATCACCTTCTAGGAAGGAAATACCTTATTGTGGTAAAGCATGCTGTGTTGAGTAGTGATATGTTACAAATTTACACCTATTAACATGATCAAGTCGTACGTGAATTCTGAAAGGGGTGTACAAAAGCTCAAGGCTACCATACAAATTATTCATACAATGTAAAATGCTAAGTTGAAATTAATTCAGAATTTAGGGTACATACAGTATGTAGCTTTAAAAAATAGTCCAAAACAAAGAGGACAAAGTGACAGACTGACAGACTGAGAATCCACAAAATAAAAGAGGAGAGTTCAGATGTACATAATGTGTGCTTCAATGTACAGTGTACAAATGTAGATACAGCTTGTTTTTTCACCTTGGAAATCCAAAATATTCAGGGCTTGAATTGTACTTTGTGACAACGTGTTTCTTCCCTATTCTCTTTCTCTAGAATTCAGCTAGAATCTATTTTTAAAATTTGTTCATTACCAAAACTTATAAAGTAAAAAATCTTACATTTATAATCCAACAAGATTTGTGGCGAATGTTAAATCTGAAAACAAAAGACATCCTGTAAACTTTAGGCTTTACAGCCAAGTCAAACAAGATTCCATCCTCAACGCTAGTTTCTTGAATTCCTTCCAATTTATGAAAAATTATCCTTAAAAATACATGTACACAGGAATGCCAATTTTTTTTTTTTTTCATGTTCCATAATGGGTAATGACATGAATTATTAAGAGCATTTAACCATGCTTGTGTGACTCCGAAACCTTGAGCTGGGTACCGTGAAATTGGCTAAAAACCCTGGAGGCACTGCATGAGATTAACTGAGATTCAAAACAAGTCCATCCTAATTAATCATAAGATAACATTTCCATGTACTTGTTATAGCCTGTTCAGAGTATTAAGTAGTTCAAATTCATAAAAAACTTGTACAAAGAAACATTTAAATCTTTAATGTACATGTTTAGCAAAAGGGGCAGACAGGTAAAATGTTGGTAAAGACATCATATAGAAACATTGTTTGAAGAGGTCGATTGACATGACAGCTGGCCAATCACCAGTGCACATTCATGATAAGCCCTGCCCACTTTTCAACAATTTTTGTACGACAGGTCATTCAGACTACAAAGGAACATGATTCTTTATCAAGTTTTCGTTCGAAACAATGCTCAAGCATGCGTTTCACTAAATCATACAACGTACTGTACATGTATTGTTATGTACAGGTTTCTTTATGATGAAGTTCAGACTAGCAAAAAAAGCAAAATTTGGTTTATTACAATTCTCATATTGCGAAGTGATGAATTCTGGTAGTGTGAACGCGGGTTAAGGGTTGTCAGGACAAGCTTTGATATCGATGCTTGTTTAATATGAAATCAAAACTGAGCACTAGAATGCCAATCATACTGCTCATTCCAGCCAAGTCCCAATAGAGCAATGTTTACATCATGATCATTTTTATGCCTCCGCCACCGAAGGTGGTGCCGGAGGCATCATGTTTTCGGGTTGTCCGTCCGTACGTCCGTACGTCCGTACGTCCGTACGTCCGTCCGTACGTCCGTACGTCCGTCCCGTTTGACCGTTATCACAATATCTCAAGAACCATTTAAGATTTAAACTTAAGACTCGGGAATAGTATTTATCACCATAGGAAGACGATCTGATTAGATTTTGGAGTACGTAGGTCAAAGGTCACAGGTCACAGAGGTCAACTTATGAAATTCCTTGTATTGAGTTTGTTAGCGCGATATCTCAAGAACCATTTGAGATTTAAAATTCAAACTTAAGGATAGTATGTATCACCATAGGAAGACGATCTGATTAGATTTTGGAGCACGTATGTCAAAGGTCAAGGGTCACAGAGGTCAACTTATGAAATTCCATACATTGAGATTGTTATCATGATATCTCAAGAACCACTGGAGATTTAAACTTCAAACTCAGTGATAGTGTGTATCACTATAGGAAGACAATCTGATTACATTTTGGAGCACGTAGGTCAAAGGTCAAGGGTCATAGAGGTCAACTTATGAAATTCCATACATTGAGATTGTTATCATGATATCTCAAGAACCACTGGAGATGTAAAAACTTCAAACTTAAGGATAGTATGTATCACCATAGGAAGACGATCTGATTAGATTTTGGAGCACGTAGGTCAAAGGTCAAGGGTCACAGAGGTCAACTTATGAAATTCCATACATTGAGATTGTTATCATAATATCTCAAGAGCCACTGGAGATTTAAACTTCAAACTTAATGATAGTGTGTATCACCATAGGAAGACAATCTGATTAGATTTTGGAGCACGTAGGTCAAAGGTCAAGGGTCACAGAGGTCAACTTATGAAATTCCATACATTGAGATCGTTATCGCGATATCTCAAGAACCACTGGAGAATTTTCACTTCAAACTTAATGATAGTATGTATCACCATATCATAATATCTCAAGAACCACTGGAGATTTAAACTTCAAACTTAATGATAGTGTGTATCACCATAGGAAGACTATCTGATTAGATTTTGGAGCACGTAGGTCAAAGGTCAAGAACCACTGGAGATTTAAACTCCAAACTTGTTTAAATTGCTCTATGGCGGAGGCATCATTTTCGACTGCGCGCAGTCTAAATTCCATCTAGTTTTTTCTTTCATACTGACAGCTGCTGAGTTCAATTTCCCATTCATTAGCTTTGGAAGAGTCCATTTGATCAGTGAAGATATCTCTTAATGGTACTAAAATGGATAGATGAATTATTTAAAAGTATCAAGACA